TGTATGAGTGACTATATTTATCAACCCAAGAAATCACAAGCAATACAAAGTAGTAGTACAAAGTTTTTGTAAATCTCTTCTTGATTGGTCTTAATAAGGTGTGCTTCTCGATTCGTCTTAATAAAATGTGCGAGTGTTTCCCACAGAGAGTTGTGTTCAACACTACGCACTTATAAAGAATGTTTCATTCTCCTCCCCAATCGATGCGGGATCTCACAATCCACCCCCGAACGATTGGTCTTAATAAAGTGTGCGAGTGTTTCCCACAGAGTTGTGTTCAACACTATGCACTTATAAAGAAGGTTTCATTCTCCTCCCCAATCGATGTAGGATCTTACAATCCACCCCCTTTAGGCCTAGCATCCTTACTGGCACTCGTTCTCTTCTCTAATTGATGTGGGACCCCCTAATCCACCCCCTTCAGGACCCAACGTCCTTGCTGGCACACTACCTCATGTCCACCCTCCTTCGAGACTCAGCATCCTTGCTAACGCACCGCCTCGTGTCCACCCTCCTTCGGTGCTTAGCATCCTAGATGGCACACTGCCTTATGTCCACCCCCTTCGGGTTTCAGCTTCCTCACTGGCACATCGCCCGGTGTCTAGTTCTAATACCATTTGTAACGGCCCATACCCACCGTTAGCAGATCTTGTCTTTTTTGGCTTTCCCTTTCATGCTTCCTCTCAAAAATTTTAAAACGTGTCTGCAAGGGTGCCAGGGAGAGGTTTCTGCACTCTTATAAAGAATGTTTCAGCTAGGGAGAAGTTTCTACACTCTTATAAAAACGGTTTCATTCTCCTCCTCAACCGATGTGGACTCACGCTTAAAGTAACAAAATTGTAGAGTAAATAGATAGAACTAAAAGAGTTAATAAGCTAGTGGATTATACAAGACATTTAAAGGGGATATGAAAATAAAGTATTTCTCAGTCATCTCAAAAACTACACATGTAAACAGGATAAGCTCATGAATGTATAACATACGTACTTTGAAAAGTAGCATCTACCTCAGCTAACCAGCCTATGAGACAATGATCAGCCAAAAAACTCATCATGGTGGCCTTTCCAGTTCAGCTGCAGCAATTCTACTACAGAGTCAAATTGGAAATTTCTTCTTCAGCCAATATGATAGCCACACTGAAATGACTCCTCTCGAGATTTAACCGAGAACCAGGAAATCTGTCTCCTACGGCCTCTCCAGATCGGAGACAGCCGTCTTAAACTCAGCCCGCTTACGCATCTCATATATCTGACGTTCGCGGCACAGCCGAGCCTTAAGCAGCTGCTTATCTTTCTTGGATCTACGCCCATTCGAATTAGGGTTGTAGCCTTAAAAGCGATCGGAATTCGATTGGGAAAGTAAGAGAGGTGGTTTGAACCAGCCAGAGACTGAGAGAGAGAGAATAAGGGCGAACGAAGAGGGCTCGGAATTGCAAGAGGAATTGGGAGAATCGACATTTATTTGCGGGAACTTTGGAGCTGAAGAAATGAAGTGGCAATAATGGTTTTCAAAGTTGCAGTGATGAAGAAACGGTGGAGGAAAAGTCGCCGTTGAGATATTCAAAGTTGCAGCGATGGCGGCACCGGGTGGCGGGTAGGATTTTATGGGCCCTATGGACGTCTTCGATACCATAGTACTGAAAAGCCCGTAATGCAAAGGGGCCCAATGGGCTTTTACTATTTTGATAATGTTTTTTAAATTAAAAATAATAATTTTTTTTAAACATTATTATTAAAATATCCTTTAATCCCCATTCTATTTTTATTTTTATGTTTATGTTTTTTAAAAATTAAATTTGCTTAATTATGATTTTTATTATCTGTTTTTCTGATTCATACTCGAATTCAATAAATAAAACAAATTTGATTTATTATTATTTTAAATTTTTATTAAAATTTAATGACAAATTTATTTCTAATAAATAAAATAAAATAATTCAGCTTAAACAGGTTTAAATTTTAATTTATATAAAATAAGTCAATGTCAGAGTTAAGAAAATCATGGGTTAAAATGCAAGAGAGAAGAAATGAAAGAGAGATACAATCTATATAAACAAGAAAAAAAAAAAAATCAAAGAGTATTTGATATAAACCTAGAGACATCAATCATACAATTTTGTTGAAATTATCCAAAGATATTTCAATTCATGTCATATTGAAGAAAAATATGTATGTTAAAACTCTTAGAATGCCTTTAATAGTTTCATTTTGAGGCTATATAAAGTCGGAGATTTGAAAAATAGAATAAAATGAGCGTGCTTTCCTTTAGTCAATGACTAAGTTTCTTTGTCATTCTACGTAGTTTAGGTTGCATGTAGAATCATTCAAGCTCGACATGATCAATCTTGTTTGTGGAGTGATTCAAATCTCAAAAAGGGTTCTTGCGTTAACATATTTGATCAACAAGAATCATTCAAGCAAGACATGATCGATCTTGCTTGTGGAATGATTCGAATCTCAAACAATGTTCTTGCCTTGAGATATTCGATCGACAAGGTAATCCGAATCTTACTCCCCTCGTAAGTGATTTCCATACATGAGTATTAGTGTTAATTTTAAAATAACGTTTTTAGAGTTTTTATTTAAGAGTAAATTATAGATTTTATTAATAGTTCATGGGTATTTTATAAGATTTTTTTGTTTATAAAATATTCAGATATTAATTTAAAAAAGAAAAATACAAAAGGAAAACATGTTGGTTCCATTATAATGGACAATGAATGAGCAATGTGGTTTGTTTATTAAAGAATAATGAATATTTTTTTGGTTAAATAATTATGAACATTATTATAAATATAAAACTTAATACATAAATGATATTATGTTCCCTCAATTGCAATCTTAATTCTATATCTTATATTTTCAACATCACACCACACGTGTATAACCCCAAATTTTCCTGCTTTTCCCCAAACAGTGCCCATTAATTTTATTAATTAAAAATCGACCCCTGCTTCTCCGACGAACTTTCCTTTTCCGCCCACCGCCCACTCCAATGTCGGATCCAGAAGGCCCTATTTATTTCCAATCTCCCAAACTCTGTAAATCGCACCTCCAAAATTATGGCTCCATTTCTATTTCTTCTCTTCATCTTCAGCAATGCTCTTCTCGGTTCTGTCGCCGTCGGAGCCGCTCCACCACCGACCGTGGCCGAACCACCTTCCGGCAGAAAGCTCGGGAAGCACCACAGTACGGAGGTTGTTTTTTCGAGTCCGTCTGAAGCACCGCGAAGTGAAAAGAAAGTTCAGAGGATCTCGACGGCGAACGACGGTGGTACGGGGAATGAGATTGAATTGGAAAATCGTGAGCATCATAAGTCGATAGATAAGTCTGTCGCCGGCGGTGGCGTGATATTGGGCGGACTCGCCACCACGTTTTTGGTGGCGATTGTATGTTACATTAGAGCTACGAGGCGACAGAGTGAAGTCAGCCTCTGAGACGACATGTCGTACGAGTTGTTTGTTGGTAATTGCATTTTTTATTATTTTTTTTAAAGGAGGTTGCAATTGTAATTAATCATAAAAATATAAAAGTGAAAGGATTAAATATAATGTATTGTTCTCTTTATTTTTGGTGGAATTTGATTGGTGAATTGCACCAAATAAAACAGTATTGGAAATTGCCATTTAAGTGTTTACTTGTTTTACTAAAAAAAAATAAATTACTTCGTTAATTTAAATTAAATTATTATCCGTTAAATCCCTAATTTAGTCTTCAAAATTCAATTTAATGTCTAATTATACATTTAATTTTCAATTTTGGACCCTGGAAATTTTGTAATTCTTTTTAAAAATATCATTTGGAGAACAATTAAAATTTACACTTTTAAATATATTATATAACCTTTTAAAAATTTTAAGACTTTATTCATTCTTTTATTTTGGTTCCATTGTAATATTTATTTTTAAGATATTATAATTTTGATTTCTAAATTGTCAGAAAATTTTATTTTAACTCTAAATGTTAAAAATTTTCATTTTGATTTTTGCTATATTATTTTGTGAGTTACATTTGGTTTATTGTATTGTTTTATTTTATTTTCTTCAATAATTTTAATGACATGTTTCCAAGATATTTTAAAATATTTATTTTCTTGCACGAAAGTCTCTCTAAACACATACGTTTAAACTTTCAAAATCAATTTTGACTAAATGTAAAATCAAACAATATTTTGATTTTAAATTAATAAATATATGTTTATAGTAATTTTTTAACATAAAAAAAATGTTAGTTCAAAATTTTCAAAATTACTTCTATTTCGTGTTAAAAATATTATATATTTTTAATCATCATAAAAGCAATGGGGATGTAGCTCAGATGGTAGAGCGCTCGCTTAGCATGCGAGAGGTACGGGGATCGATACCCCGCATCTCCAATTTTGTTAAAATTTTAATTTTTAGTATTAAATAATATTTATACTATTTCCGATTACTTCACAACATGTGGGCGTGCCGGAGTGGTTATCGGGCATGACTAGAAATCATGTGGGCTCTGCCCGCGCAGGTTCGAATCCTGCCGCTCACGGTACTGTTTTTTCATTTTTATTTTGTTTTGTTTTCTTGATTATTCCTCGTTCTTTTTTTTTGTTTTATTATTCCTCGTTCTTTATTTATTTATTTTATTATTTCTCGTTCTTTTTTTGTTTTAATATTCCTCGTTCTTTTTTTTATTTTAATATTCCTCGTTCTTTTTTTAATATAAGGGGATGTAACTCAAATGGTAAAGCGATCACTTAGCATACGAGAGACATGGGGATCGATACCCTGCATTTCTATTTTAAATAGACCAAAGACTAGAAAAAATAAATCCTAAATGAATTATTACACATTTTATTCTATAAATTTAAATTAATCTCAAAATATTTAATTTGGTATCTTTGAAGATTGTAATGATATGTTAAATAAAAATATTATAAAAAAGAAACTATGAGCGACCATTTAAAATTTACTTAAAATTAACAAGTCATTAAAAAGTTTTCTTGCTACGAAAGTCATTCATTAGTAGACGCCCCTTGCATATAGAGAGCCACCAAAACTTGCTCTCTCTGGCTCTCCGTCTGGTTCGTCGGAATTGAATTGGAGAAGTACAAAGAATCTGCAAGGCAATACAAAAATGGTGAATGAGAAATCGGTTATGGCCGTCATCAGGGCAACTAGGCCTACCTTTCGCAATGACAACGACAAGGTCGCGTTTGCGGTTCACGCCATATTTCTCGCCTCCGGCTGCGTGCTCACTGCCACCGGACCTCCTGCTTTTACTGACGCCGCCTTTTCTTCTCCCTCAAAGGGTATGACTTCTTTGTTTATTGAAAAATTAAAAATTCTTCCCATATTTGGTATTTCTGAGTCTTGGATTGGGGTTTAGATGAAATTAGTATCGAGGGCTGGAACGAATTAGAGGATGAGTACGCATACGTTTACGCAAACCTTGAAAAGGATTCTAACTGGAAGAAAGTGATAGTGAAGTGCCTGGTGATGAACGGGAAATTGCTTATTGATGCCTTGACTGATGAGAATTCCGAGCCACTCCATCTTGAAATTGAGTACGCTCTCCCAGATATCAGATATATATGTGTATTGGCGAATTAGTACTTTGTCCTGTTTCGGTATTGAGTGTTTTTTTGTTCCTATTGTTCTTTTAGCGTTGAAGAAATCGTCAATCCGAATGGGGGAAGTAACTATTCAACGCAGTACAGAAATTTGGATACCCTGGTGAAACGCTTGGGCTTGGGAATATTGTCAAAATTGGGTGGTTCTTCGAAAGCCACGACAAGTAATCCAGCAAGGTAGTGATTAGATCAGTAATCAACACGTACGGTTATTTTAATTCTTCATTTTTCCTGATGTTATTGAGACGATTACTCTCTTTTGTGATTCTTATTTCTTGGCGTGTTATAAATATGAATCGAAATTATGTCTCTGGTAATCGTTCTTTAATCTGGTTCTTGGCGGTCTACATGCTTTTTGCAGGGCTGAGAGTGAGAGTAGTGAAAGATCATCTGTAGTTGTAAATAAGCCTACTTCTGGAATTCCTGAGCTTCCTGGTCCACTGCTCGATCCTTCCGGGTCTTTCTCTTTATCCACACTTGCGCAATCACAAAACGTCATGACATAATTTGAGAAATATGTTGGGTCTTGACTTAAGTTCTTAACTATTGTATGCTACCATGCTTTTACGTTTGTGTTGGGTGCTATTATCACTGTCTCCAACATTCAGATTTGCTAGTTTTTAAGTTTCTAACAGTAATTTGAATGCATTTTCTTTATGATATCTTGTTTTCCCCTTTATGGTTAGATCAAGAAGATAATGGTTTATATGCTTTATGCTTTGATTGATTTGATACCCAGTTCCTCTTAGGTTTGATTGATTTGACACAAGAAGATAATGGTTTCCTTTGAGAGAGATTGTAATAGTCTTACTTAATGTGCAGGAATTGTTTTTGCTGAATTATTGCGACGGTCAAATATTTAATGGCAAGCATATTGTGCCTTTGTCCAATCCTTAATTGTATCAATTTAGGAATTTTCGAAGGTTCCATGTTTACAAATAATTTAGCTAAGAACCTGTATCCCATGAGTGAGTGAGTGAGTTGACATAGTCTGAATGTGGCTGTTTTTGCTATTCTCTTAGAGTTGTAATTCCTCCTATTAATCCCCTTGGTGGTGGCGATCTTTTCCCTGGACCCGGTGCTGAAATGTACCCTGCTGGGTAATTTTTTAAGTTTGTCGATTAATTGTGTACGTATGTGTAACAGTCCAAGCTTACCGTTAGTAGATATTGTTTTTTTTGGGCATTCTCTCAAGGTTTTTAAAACGTGTTTGCTAGTGAGAGGTCTCCACAATCTTAAAAAGAATGTTTGTTCCCCTCTCCAATCGATGTGGGATCTCACAATCCAATCCCTTCGAGGCTCAGCATTCTCGTTGGCACTTTATACCCTCTCCAAGGGGAACAAAACATTTATTATAAAGGTGTGGAAACTTGTCCCTAGCAGACGTGTTTTAAAAACCTTGAGAGAAAACTCGAAAAGAAAAACACAACGAGAACAATATCTGCCAGTGATGGACTTGAGAGCTGTTACAATATGATTGTCATTGGTGCAAAATATCATGTTAATTTTGTTTTTATGTTTTTTTTTTTTTTTTTTTTTTTTTTTTTTTTTTTTTCCAATTGATTACAGAGGTGGTTTCAGCGGCGATGGAAGCATGCTTTTAGGTTAGTGAATTGTTAAGTCATCTAGTATTAGATTGAAAATAAGCGTAATTTCACTATTTTATCATGCAGGACCGAATGACCCGCGATGGTTAGGAATTGGTATAGGACCTGGATTTGAAGGCGGGCAGCCGTGAGTCAATTAGCTCTCTCTCTCTCTCACTCATAAAGACACACACAAACACTCACCTTTGCATTATGACTGCTGCTAATTCCAAGTATCTTGAAACAGGGGTGTTCCTCCAGGTGCTCGTTTTGATCCATATGGTCCACCTGGTGTTCCTGGTTTTGAACCCTTTCGGTTTGTTAGGTATGTGGAACTTTCCTTACCTTGTCATTGCATATGGGGGGCTCTCTTTTGATCATTAATTTCTATCAGCATTTATCATTTGCTGAATGCTGCTTTGACAACGACTAAATTCAAACCATGTATCTTGGCATTCTAAAATAGGATTGGTTAATCCATTGAGAAACAGGATTGGTTGGGTCATTAGCCCAGTTGTCATTCATACAAACAACTTGTTTCTGAATACATTTTGTATGGAGCGGCAGAGTAGTTAGTTAACTGGGATGCTTCTTCTTCTTCTTCTTCTTCCCTTTGTTACAGGAATCCTGGGAGACCTGGAGGGGGAACTCATCCGGACCTGGAGCATTTTGGAGACGGTTCAGATTTCATATAGTCCGCCATAGTTATAAAGCTCTGAAAGTTGTTCAAAGTGTTAGGGAAAGACGATAAATTTGGGGGATGGATGGTCAACCCATTTTATGCATATGCTTGTATTGAGTTCCTTTTTTCGTATGTTTTAGGTGGCCAGTAATGACTGTATGTACGGTGAATATAGGAATGGTGTTTACTGAATTTTACGTGTCAAAAAACATTTTAACTTCAAACTTTTACACCCATATAAATAATAATGTACGTATTTTACCTATTATATTATTCTCTTGGTATATTTAGTTATTTATCAATACATATTTTCTTGCACAAATCTAATAGGTAAAATACATACATTATAAAAAATTGTGCAAGGAGCGAGGTGAGCATTTTATTTTCTTGCACAAATTTAAATTAAGGGCATGATTAAAAGTGATATTGAAATTTATTTTCTTCCACAATTTTACGTTCAAAATCTCTTTTAAAATCAATTTTTTTAATTTTGAATTATTAAATATTTATTTATAAGTGAAATATACAAATGAATTTTATACATATCACACAGAAAAAAACAAGAAAATAAACAATTATTAATTTGAATTATCTTTTATATTACAATTAAAGAACAGTTGGGGATGTAGCTCAGATGGTAGAGCGCTCGCTTAGCATGCGAGAGGTACGGGGATCGATACCCCGCATCTCCAAATTTTTGGAAATTTTCAATTCGTTACAATATTAAAGAAATTATATTTATTTTAGAATATTCTTCAAACATGTGGGCGTGCCGGAGTGGTTATCGGGCATGACTAGAAATCATGTGGGCTCTGCCCGCGCAGGTTCGAATCCTGCCGCTCACGTTTTTGTCATTTTTATATTGTTTTCCTCTTCTCAATTATTCGGTATAAACTGGCTTCATTTTGGGGATTATAAGCTGTTTTTTTAATACATCATCTCAATAATAAAATTTTTATAAATTAATTTGGCCATTTAATATCAATTATTGCGTCTAAAATTTGATATCTACTTACAACAATTGTTATTTTAGTATACCAATTAGATTAAAATGACACCTAAGATATAATTTATCAAAGTTAATATTATTGTCAAAGAACTTGAGCATAGAGTAAAAATTGATGAAAGAAAAAAAATCAATTGATTTTGACAAAAAGAAATTATATAAGATGGATGTGACGATACATGTGTAGGTCTTGATATATATTTTTTAAATTTTGTTTTCAACAATAGTTTCAAAAGGGGATGTAGCTCAGATGGTAGAGCGCTCGCTTAGCATGCGAGAGGTACGGGGATCGATACCCCGCATCTCCAACTTTATTTCAATTTATTTTTATATTCAAATTTTTTATAACCGAATATAATTCAACATGTGGGCATGCCGTTGTGGTTATCGGGCAAAATTTCGGAACCCGTCTGCGTAGGTTCGAATTCTTCCTCTCACGCTATTTTGCCTACTTTTTTTTAAAACAAAAATAAGAAATAATTATAAAAAAGAAAGAAGCAATAAAATATTCCTTATTCTCTCCCACATCTATATTAGAATGTTCACAGCCATGGACCTGGACCTGACTTTGATATTGTCTGCTTTAGCCTGTGTTTCGTCGTTAGTTTCACAATTTTTAAAACGCGTTTGTTAGGAAAAAGTTTTCACAACGTTATAAATAATGTTTCATTTCCCTCTCCAACTGATGCGGGATCTCTCACACCATTAGTTTAACTCCTCGATAAATATTTACTGGTAAGTGTTACACTTTGTGAGTACCCTATGATTGGTGTTTCACATCCGGAGTTGAAATCGATAAAAAATAACCGTTTTCTCCATCAAATGATGTTTCCAGCAAAAACTCGACATCAATCCAACGAAACAATATAGAGGCAAAGATAGGCGCCGACAACTTTCTTCACGTGCAAACAATGACAAATGGATGCAGTTGGGCGTGCGAGAAGAGCTTGTTGTTGGTGGTAGGTTACGAGGGCGACAATGGTGGATTGTGTTGGATGACAGGTCTAGGTAAATGTCTAAATCGATTCAATTAAAAAGTTTAGAATTTAATTGATAAAGTTAAATGGAAATTGGTGAAAGTAGAAAGATAATAATAATATATATCCTATTAAAGATAAGATGATTAAGGTTGTTTTCTGTCACCCTGTTGGCGGCCCATGAAGTAGAGACATTTGAATGTTAGAAATGGCATCCCATCTTTTATTGGCCACAATAAGAAATGGATCTCTTTTGCTTTTCTTTTATGGAAACCATTTCTATAGAAATGGAAATAAATTCAAGTTGCCAACTTTTTCATTTAATGGGCAGATATTCCTCTGTTAAGATATGAGTCCCAAAAGTGACTAAAGTGTCGAACAAATAGTGTACTTTGTTTGAGGGCTCCTGAGAAAAGAGTCGAGTCTTGATTAAGGGGAGACTATTCAAGAGCTCCATAAGCCTCAGACGAGGCTTATAGTGTACTTTGTTCGAGGGGAAGATTGTTGAGGATTATTGAGAGTGAGTCTCATCTTGGTTAATTTAGTGGAAGATCATGAGTTTATAAGTGAGGAATACTATTTCCATTGTAGCCTTTTGGGAAGCCCAAAACAATATCATACCACTAAGTCGAGCCGTGATTTCTAACAGTCTACTAGGAAAAGATTTCTAAATGTTGATTTTAATTGCAAGAGTTAAAGTTTATTGTCAACAAATATTGTTCTTTTTATAGCTTAGTTTCGATGGTTTTTTCAAAGTTTTAAAACCCATATACTAGGGAGAGGTTTCTACACCCTATGAAATGTTTCGATTCCATTTCCAATGGATGTGAGCTCTCACGTTAATTAATTTCAATATTCAATTTCCAACATTTTACATTTTATCTTGAAGAATATTTTGTCACGATAATGTTTGTTTTATTATTAAGATAACTATGCTCACATTTATCGACTTACCATAATTGTCATGGTTATGTATAACTTATATAATCATTTTATATTTGTTATTTGTGGTTGGAAATTTTGGATATAAAGGACAAGTCCAAAAAAGAAAAAAAGAAACTAACCTTAAAATCATCTCGTGAGCGTCTCAAGACGTAACTTAAAATATAATCAAGTTTTCAAAAAAGAAGGAATTGGATGAAAGACATAATTGGCCCATCGTCCTTAGCCAAGGAGGCCGATGGCAAGGGCTAGGTCGAGCTATAAGACCTACTTCTTGTAGAACCCCTATCCAAAGCGCCATTTGACATGCTTTCCTTCTCTATTCAAATTAGGGAAGAAAACGAGACATTCAAGATCTAACTCCTATCGGATCAATCAAGAGATAATACTATAATTAGATTAATTCGATGAAAGATCTAGAATCAAGATTTGGAACATTGTTTTAAATTGAACTTATTAATCCTTGTGACTCGATCCAATTCTACCACAATAATTGATTGAAACTAAGAAATGACTAGATTGATGATTGGATTTTGAAGGGAAAAGTCCAATTTGAGATCTCGATTTCATTTATCAACTAATATCATTTTTACATAACATATTGACGTTTATGAAATTGACAATTTAACCCTTATACTCTATTCCCATTTGGAATACAAATATTATTAGTTTATTTTTTTTAAAAGAATTTTTATAAACGTGTTGTTTAGAATATGATAGAAGTATGAGAAAGGGAAAAGTCCAATGTGCAGGAAAGGTGGCAAGGGAAGTGGGTGAACGTCAGGCACATACCAACACCCATGCGGCGGCCCTCTGCGGCAAAGCCCCAACGCCCACGCGGGGGCGGGGCCTCCCCTGTCGCCATCTTCTAATAACTCTCATTTCGCTCCCTCTTGGATTAGTGTAATTCAAATCATATCCTTTTCACCAACATTTCATTTGAATCCCACTTGGTTTAATCCTTTCAACTTCTACTCTCTTCAACTCCAACTTTACTCCATCTCTTTCACATGATATGGGCCTTAGGCAAGAGGGTGACCAAAGACTTTAACTTTTATGACCTCCACAACCTGCAAAGATAACCCGTGAGCTAGGGGCGAGAAATCCTTGTTTGAAAATGAACGAGGGTGTGTGAGAGAAATTTCTCCTACCTAAACGAGATCCGAGATTATGTTTCCTGTTCTTGTCCGTACCCCAAAACTTCCATCATTTGTAAGAGTCCAAGTCCTTTGGTAATAGATGTTTTGGCGTTACGTATCAACATTTCTGAGAGATTCTTCATTCTCTCTCCAACTGATACGAGATCTCACAATTCACTCTCCTTGTGGGCCAGTATCGTCACTGGCATACCGTCTAGTGTCTTGCTCTAATATCATTTGTAACCGCTTGAGTGAATCTCATAACTCACATTTTATATATCTTTAATTCTTTAATTATTTTTTATTTTACGTAATTCTATATTTATTGAATTTAAAAATATAAAACAAAATCTAAATTAGATTTGAGATAGAATTAAAAGATAGATAGGTTGGAAAATAAATATATTTTTTCTTTTGGTAGAAATTAGATTTCAATAATAATTCAATAAAGAATAATTGTTTCAACTAACAAAACGACGCATTTTCTTTTCATTTTATAATTCAACTACTATTATTAAATTCATCTTTTCAATATTAAAATTAAAGAAACAAAAGGGCAAAAGGGTAAAAAATAGCTTTTTATGAAAAATAAAATCATTTGAGATTAAGCTATAATTTTTCTTTTTGTCGTTATCAGTTGTGGGATAAATCGTGGCAGCAAATGATTGGCAGTTATTGTGTGTCCCACAAAGAGGACTTACTACTCTCCACGTGTCATTTATCCAATCAATTCATTTGACAGCTTGAAAGTCGAGAAAAATAAAAATAAAAATAAACAAAAAAGAAGAAATTTAGAGAGAGCGAGAGATCGAGGCAAATGAGAAATTCGCAGAGATTTTGACAGAATCTGTGTTTTTCCATTTTTACGGTCTTCCTTTCCTTATAAATTTGTGGGGGAAATGGCGGTTTCTTCATCGTTTCAATTCTGCGTTCCAGCATTCCCCTGTTCTTCCCCTTCCCTTCTCTGCTCCTCTGTTTTTCCCCCATTTCCATTGCAATCTTCTTCTCTCCATTAAAGGGTATCATCCGGAGACGGGTTTGATTGAAGGGCTACTTCGTTTTTCACTGATTAGGATCAAAATGGAAGGAAAGAAGCATGTGGGTGCCGAGTCCGAGTCCCAGTCCGAGTCCTCTTTTTCTCGCACTACTGACCCGTTTGGTTCCAGACACAGCTCCTATTCTTCCACC